TTGGCAATATATGAAATTGTTCAAGGTTAGCAGTCTCACCTACTTCTTCAACCTAGTTTATTTTTGGAGAGACTTAATAATAAATGTGTTTGTTATATTAGAATTCACAATATTATGAATTATCAATAATATGGTACAGTTGTATGACCCTTTCTGTTTCCCCTTCCATGTGAAAAAACTTCATAAAGTGTTAATCTGTATGCGTTGGAATCACTAGTCTCTTTAAATATAAGATGCTTAACATTTCAGGCAAGACTAAATTTCAAATAGTGTTTAAAAGGCTGTCTGCACGATTTGTTTCTCTTGAGTGTTTATTTCTATAGAGTATTTTGCATATTTTTAAAGAGAGGCTACATTTTAAAAACTTGAAATCTTGGAAGGTATAAAGGAGGTTAAAAAACCTTGAATATGTTCCTTTATTGTATTTTTATCATAAAATAAAATAACTCTATGAATACTCTTGAGAGGCAGTTTATGATCTACCTCAACTGCAATATTCAGATACAACTAAATCTGTGCATACATTAGTTTACTTGAGTCACAAGTCTGCAATTCAGAATTTATCTTGATTTTATTTCAGTTAAATTAAATGCACAGACCCTAATCCTCATCTTGTCAAATTAAAATTCCTTACCACCAATTCCACTCTTAGTTCCTTAACACTATATCACATGCCAGCGTGCCATGCATAGCTCGGCTAGCTGCCTGCAACACAAAGACTTGTGAATATTCAATAGCGTTTCACAGAACAAGATCTCTCTCGCCACTGCTGTCACCATCTGTGAGAGAGGGAAAGAGTAGACGAATGGAAAAAGAAAGGATTTCACCACCACCACCTATTTCACTGACACACAAGCTTTTAGATAAGATTGCTGGACACAGAAAAATGTGTTCCTTTTGTTGGTAAACGGCGCATCAGTCCATCAGAAGAAACAAACATGGTCACACAATAGAACACACAGTTCACATAGCAGCAGCACTCCTGTATTAATGGTATTGGTGAGTCATATTACGAGGCTATCCTACATCTGCATTGTATTTTTGTCTGTATGAAAAATGTTAAGTTCACATTAAATAAATCAAAAATGTTTGGTTTTTCTCCTGTTTTCTTTTTTTCTCGCTTTGTCCATTTATCTGGATACTTGTGCCTGAAGCTGACCCTGTCATCTATATGTCTGCAATCAGGAGTCACACTCCTTCCTAGCTGAATACTAACAACTAACAGTTGTTACCAAACTCCCTTTAGATTTATTTATCTGTTTGCCGCAGCCATGAACTTGTAAGTTGCATTTGTTATCTGTGCTTTTCTTAAGGCAAGGCAAAAGCGCTGTACATGGGGGAAAAAGTAGGGTACAGTGGCCTACAGGCAACACAAATAATCAAATAAAATAAAATAAAAATGTATGATTAGTATGGTATCATTATAAGGTAAAAGATCAAATGATTGAAAAAATGAAGGGAAACTTTGACTAAAAACGTAACTAATAGTGGTAAAATGGCCTTTACTTATATAGCACTTACTGTATTCAAGTCAGGAGACATGACCAAAACGCTTTACATCAAATTCAGTCATTCACCAATTCACACACACAGTCATGGTGGCAAGCTACAACAGCCACAGCTGCCCTGGCGCTTTATAAATAAACTGAATTAAACTGAAATGGTCTCAGGGTCACCAGTCACAGCTATAAGGACTTCCCTTTGTAGCCGAAGCTGCCCTGGGGCTCACTGACAGAAGCAAGGCTGCCGTACACAGAATCCATGAGCCCTCTGTTAACCATCAGTAGACAATGCGGGTGAAGTGTCTTGCCCAAGGGCACAATGACATTGAAAGCAAGAGCGGGAGCTTGAACCAACAACAGGGAAAACTCATGCATCTGACGCCATAGTCGCCCCATCTAATAACGATCTATAGCACAGTTAAAGGCAACTCAACAAATACGTTTTGAATCTCAAAGAAACTTAGGGTTTCAGAACTTCTACAGTTTTCTGGGAGTTCATTCTAGATTAGTGAAGCAATAGAAGTGTAAACTGCTCTTCTTCTTGGGGTCTGGTTCTGCGGAGTAGATTCTATCCAGAAGACCAGAGAGGTCTGGGCAGTTGATACACTGACAGAAAGTCTGAATATATATTTTAGAACTACTGCCGGGCATACACTGTACGATTTTTATCAATCGTTGCATGCAGCTACAGCTCACTCTGTATTAGGAAACCGCAGGGTTTAAAAGTTTACAGCTCATTATGTATGTTCTCAGACTGTGCAGCCCGACGCTCTGATGCGATCTACCTGCTCACACTGTACATCTGAAAACCACTGATCCGCAGTGAGATGGAGCTACTCGGACTCATCTATCCGGAAGCCAAACCAGTAGAAGAGGTATATGAAGCTCACTAGAGTGAAACACGCTGCCTTGGCAAATTGTGCAATTTTGTGCTGAAAACCCTAAAAAAAAAAGGCGACAACGTGTTTGGACAAAGACATGGCTCAGCAAACGTGGCTACTACTGTCTGTCAATTTTACAGAAAGAACTCCATTTCACTCGCATTACCGCCATGCTTCTGTGTTTACATCTGACAGGAAGAAGAAGAAGAAGAATCCTTGTTTGTAAATGTGTACTGAGCGATTTGCCCATGATGGCCAACTGAATTTAGAACATGTTTGATTTTCTCCCAACCTCACAATTCCTGATCGGGAGGTGGTTGTGAGAGGCTGATCGCCCCTCGTTACCCAGTGCATACTACACGACGCACAATGAGGTTGAAAGTCGGCCCGATCAAAAAATTCTCGCACAACTGGAGAATCAGCCCAAAAAGGGGAAAAAATCATACAGTGTAAGCCATTGACTGATTGAAAGACTAAAAGTATTAAATAGGTATTTTACTGTCTGTTTTGTGAGAAACAAGGATCCAGGACTTTAGAACTGGACTGATGTTCTCCACATTCTTAGTTCCAGTGAGGACGAAAGCTGCAGCGTTCTGCGTCAGCTGCAGAGGTTTGATCCACTTTTTAGGGCGACCTATAAAGACACCGCAGCAATGATCTATTATACTAAAGATGAACACTGCATGAATTATTTTTCTAAGTCCTGCTGAGACATTTCTCCTTTAATCCAGGAGATGTTCTTTAGGTGATTAAAGGACGGCTTTGTTCCTGTCTTAATGAGCATCTGATTTAGAGCCTTTGCACTGTACAGTACCGTGATGTTTTGGTTAATGAAAAGACCTTTGATAAAAAGATTAATTTAAAAGGGTTCTTTTTGTATATTAACGTATCTAAATAAACAAATATTTGAAGAAAATAAATCTCTATTGTGTGTATTAAATAATTTGCCTAAAATATACCTACATATGTAAGTAAATATTTTTCTTTATAGTAAAAAGATTCAATTTAATCCTTCATTAAAAGGTTATATGTAGTTTATGTTTAAAAAATGGTTGTAGTTTTATTTATAGAGTTCTGTTTTAATTACTGCCTCAAGTAGGTTATTCTTTTAGCAAATAGGAACTTGTAGAGTCTATGTGCCATTACTCCAGGAAATGAATCAATTAATAACCAAATTAGTTGCTTATTATTTTAATAATCAATTAATCATAGTTCATTTAATTAATTGTTTTGTCCCGAAATACAACAATACTTAATTTCCATTCTGGCTTCATTAGAATCAGAGGGAAAAAAGTCTGCACAGAGAAGTAATCAATGTGACAGGAGGTAGAGCTAAAACAGCTCAGGCTTCTTTCCTGACCTATCTGGTATAGCCCACCATGTCCATCGTCAGCCTGCTGCCACTGTTATTACTAAACACCACATGCACAGAATAGTAACTGATCTCCCGGCTATTATAATCCAGTGAATGATGGGCACCCATACAACTGGGGTCCTGGCATTAAGGGGAGTAGCTGGACAGGGTTCTGTCTCTGTCTTTCAGCTGCTCTAATGTTTCACTGAACCCTAATTGTATGTGCATCAATCCACAGCGCATGCAGGGTTACAAGGCTGCACAGTATTTTAACAAAATGTATCATATTCACTGCTTAAAAACATAAAACAGTATTCAAAGTCAAATATGACAGCCAATAATGTTTAAGTTGTTAAATTTAAGAGCAATTATGAGATTTGTATTAAAATGATACCTCAAGGTAGACCCTTGTTACCTAAGCCTCCCTTTTATGTGATACTGGTCAAAACGTTAGGAGTACACATATTAATAATGTCCATTTTTTCAATCATATTGCAGATTAATCAAGCAGAACCTATGACAGCTGTAGAAATTCAGTATCATACTGCAGGGGCAGGGTGCCGCCATTTTTAAAAATCCATGCCAGAACAACGCAGAAACCAATCCAGAAATAGCAGCTGGTCCCAACAGGAATTCAATGAAGTCTTATTAAATCCACTGACCTCAGGTTTAGCATTCTTATCCACCAATGTTGAGATCAGGGTTAGCCCTAAACCAAAGGTACTGAATTACTTGTAAATATTAAGTCCACAAATATTTTTTATTTTTTTTCGTGTTTGACATTTATGATCATCAAGTAAACAAAGAACAGTATTTAAACGTCTCTACAAACAGCAATCAGGGGTCATTTATGCTAAAAAATCAAACAAAAAAGCATTAAATAAGAGAATAAATTAAAAGATTTAATTGTTATAAGGTTTTAAGTAAGTAATTTAATGAAATTAGTTAAGTCTTTCTGTATCACAAGTCACTTCATGCATCAGTGAATCAACTTAAGGAGCCACAATATAATTGAGATGCAGCTACTGTTTGTCTTCAGCACTGGTTGTGTTTCTTTAGATCTCTGTTATGTCTCATACTTGTCAAAACCTTTCCAGGTTCTGAGGAGATAGTCTTTATTTAATACGCATCAGAAGATACACAGAAAGAGACTCACAGATGAGCATTTTTGTTTGATTAATATCAACAACGGCTGCTGAATGTGTATTTTGTCAAACCACAGCAAATCACAATGTGTGTTTTCACAGAAAAATATTCGCTAACCACTTTGTCCTCCTGTTGCAATTCCATGAGAGCAGGAATGCAGCAGAGAGAGAGAACAGGGATACAGCCGGGGAAAAGAGGGGTTTGGGGAGGGCAGGAAAGACAGGGAGACAAAATATAGTGAGTGTCACCAGATCCTGGGAGCACTGTCACTTATTCTGAAAGAAAAGGGTTGTATGGAATTAAATAAAACATACTTCAGTAATTTTTTAGTAGAACACCAATATATCTGGGTTAGTATGGAGAAAGCATTTGGAATTGGTCAGCTGGACACTGTGTGACAAGAAAATATGAAAGTATGTCTGTTCATAAGAGCAGCTATGGAGAGGGAGTTCCCTCCAGTGGTGAAATAGCATAAATACAAGTTATGCAGTACCCTGCAAAACCCTTCTTATTCTTTAAAAATGTTCACATTTTGTCTTATTACAACTGCAAAAAACTCTGATTCTTTCTTTTTTTGTTTGTTTGTTTTTTCTGGATTTTATGTTAATTTTTTAAAGTACATATTACTGTTATAAAAGGAAAGGATAATATATATATATATATATATATATATATATATATATATATATATATATATATATTTATTTTTTTTTTACAGTTCTTACAAATCCAAATCTGAAAAGTGTGGTATGTATTTGTATTATGCTACTTTACTTTGATAACCTGAAACATAATTCAAAACACACAGTTGGATATGGTAGATAACTGTGATTAATACTAATCTACACAAAGAAGTCTGAATTTGTGAATGTAAGTCAATAAATGGGAATACATTTAATATTTGGAGGCTCAAAGCAGAGTCTTTTATAAGACAGCACCCAAAGCTTTGAATGCCTCATGGAGCACCTATGACACATGGCTACTTGGCAACAAAGACAGGTGGACGAGAAGAGCGATAATCAATGAAGCAGCTGAGAGGGAGAATCTGCCGGGGAGGACGGGGAGAATCTGCGGACAGGATAACTGGTAGTCATTCACTTCACAAACTAGCTTTTAGAAAATGTGGAAGATGCTTTAAGAAGTGATCTTTTCCCCAAATTCCATGGAGGATGGACAAAAACTTGTGGAAAAAGGTGCCTGTAAAGGTCCAGGAGGGTAGAAACTTAACACTTAAAGCCTTGATAAAAAGTCTTGAAAGCCAAATGCAAAATATGTTATAATTAGATCAATGCATACAACTATCAGGGTTTTATTTGTAAGGGGAAACAAAAAACTAAACCCATGTTTTTATTTATTGTTTTGTTATAATAAGTATTACTTTATGTTGGTCTTTAGCATAGAATCCCAATAAAACATAAAGCATGAGGTTGTAACATGACAAAATATGAAAACACTCCTTTAAGGTGTTAAGAAGTAGCACTGAAAAAATGATCTAGAAATAAGTAAAAATGTCTTTAATTAAGTGTATTTACCCTTAATTTTAGTAGGTAAATGAGGTAGTTTGCCAGTGGAATGAGTATACTGTTATTTACTGTTAAAATTAGAAAATTAGATAACATGCACTTGAAACAAGACAATACAATCGTGTTTTTGTTATTTTAAGTGTAAATTGTCTTGTTCCATTGGCAAAATGTCTCCTTTACCTCCTAAATCCAAGAACAAATGCACTTATTTTAAGAAAAAATTACTTATTTAGATTTTTTTCCAGTGAGAAAACGTCTCTCCTCATCAGAAATGACAAAATCTGGACAACAGAAGCAGAATAAATACATTAGCTGGTCCTATAGAAATTGAGAAACTGACGTCTTACTTTGAAGTTTTATAAACTAGAGTAAAGTAGGCACATCTAACAGCAGCTGAAAGTTTGTTATGGTGTGTCAGTGGTCGAGGTGTAGCTGAGAGGTGTCATCACTGCTGAGTAACAGGCATGAAGCGTTACCTTGTTTGACCGCAGAGACACTCGTCCTCCGCACCTAGCACAGAATTTCGTTTGGCAATATGAACAGATGTGACCACAGCCGTCAGCAAATTTTGTTTTGTGGCATATTCCACAGGTTGGGGCTTCGCTCTTCTGCTCCTGAACCGGTTTAGTCTCTTCCCCCATCTTCTTAACCTGGTCCTTATACGATTCAAACTGCTGGTGTAACTTCCTGTCAGTGAATGAAAAAAAGCAAAGGTTAGAAAATCAGATGATGAAAGTGATGACCTGAAGGAAAGCTTTTTTTTTTTTGATTGTTTGCATATAATCATCGGGGGAAAAAACAACAAAAAAAGGTCATATTCAAGGATAATTTCGATCATTCAACTGAACATTTATTTTGTGAAGAAAGAAATACTTACTGCTTTTAACAGAAAATACAAAACATCTCTTAGACTCATAAAAGGAGAAGGAAAACTTTACAAAAAGTATAATATCTACTTCTTCCTGTAAATACCTCAAAAAGCAGACAAATGCAATAAAGGGTAGAGTTACTGCAAATTTAACAATAAAAACTGTCTTCACGTTGCATCTGTTAACCTTTTGGTAACTGACCAGTAGAGTAGTTTTAGAATAAACACCTTAGGTTACTTTAAGGTCATTTTTCTCAGGGTTTCATTTTCTAAAATGCTATTCCTTTTAAGGGTGTCTCGATCCGATATCGGAAATCGGCCCAATATCAGTCAAAAAATGAATATTGGAATACATCAACCTGTGTCTAAAATCTCAGATATTAGAAAGCTCATAGAAAACTTTTGCTTCTATCCTCTTTTGTGCAAAGTTTATATAACTCTTTGGTGAATAAGAATTTTGATCTCATAGCCAATGTTGTTAAGCATTGTTCTCTATTTGACAAATATCCCTTGATCAGGATAATCTATAATCTGACACTATAAAATCAGCAATAAAAGCTTGTATGAGTCATGCTGATATTATATCAAGTCATTATTGGGATTAGAGCATGTGAACGGAGCGGAGCGCCGCGCAATTTGCTCTGCATATCCATCTGGAAACCTTCCATTGAAGTAATTTTGGTTAGGGGCGAAAATACTGGTTTGCTGATTGGCCTATGTTGGTGATAGACGGGCCAAATAAACCAATCAGATCAACGAAGCATATGACGTACTAACAGAACGACGACGAAAACACAACCACAAGCCAGGCTACTCTTGCCGAAACCAGTCGGGAGAAGAGCAAAAACATCTTTTTCTCTGAGAAAAGCCTCCAGAGCAGTGTTTTGCTCTTCTTTCAGTGAAGAAATACTTTGTAATTCCGATAAAACTTGCTTGATGGCCACGCTAAGGCTAGTTTCATCGGCTGAAGCCGCAATGTTCTTTAGACTGAACTGTCGTGCTTCTCGTTGCGTCACACCTCAACCCGCCTCAAAGCCAATGCTGATTGGACGTTCGTTTGGTGAACGGCTCCAAATTTTCTTTAACGGAGAGTCTCCAGACTGATTAGCGAGTGAAATCTTGAAAGCTCGCGAGATCAGGATGGTCTCACGAGCGCTCACCTTGATTTTTCTGCCGCTCCGGCGAAATCGCTCCACGCTCACTGAAATTTTCAGGAGAAGGCATTTTCTGACATTTTTCCTCCATGTAAGTGCCAGCGCCCTCCATGCCAGCGCCCTGGGACACACAGCGTTTAATTTAATGATGTGACCTAAACATGTGTATTGTTTTATTTAAATGGTTGTTAAATTATGGCACTGTTTTCCCAGCTGTGAACGTAACGCCTCATATCAGAGTGAGTGCTGGAGCGGAGCGAAATCCTCTCTCCAGCCTTTGAAGTGAAAAGCGCTCTGCACTCCACCTTATTTCTTCCGCTCCGATCTGGCGCTCGCTCCACGCTCAGCTCCACTCACATGCTCTGATTGGCATCCATCGATACTCAAAGTATCAGTATCGCATCAGAAATGAAAAAGTTGTGTCAGGACACCCCTAATTTATTTCTAGTAACAGATGGATTCAGGTATTCTACCTTGCTTGGTATATTATGAACATCTTAGCCTAATTACAATCTTCTTCTACAACAACCTGAATATTCCTAAAAAATAATATATCGGTACAAAGCTTTGCCTTCTGAAACCTTGAGCGTCTATTGTGCAGGTCTGCGATCACCCATATGAGCACAGATTTTAGTTTCCTGCACTATCACAGACTCCTGTGAGTTTTACTCCCCTATTTTGTTGAGTATTTCTTGCAGCAGATGAGGGGCTAGTTTATCCAAATTTCACATCTTCATCGGGACTGACAGCCGTAATACAATACCCATCTTTAGGTGGATGTTTTCTGCTAAAAATGTCTTGCTTATTTATTCATTTGAAGCTCTGATTATGGTATAAAACTGTCTCAGTTCATCAGTTCAATGAAAAAAAAGAAAATGCTTATTCTGCACAAACCCCATGCTTTAGCTACAAGCGGACAAAATAATCCAAATCCGTGTATGAGTGGAATTTGGTGAGGAAAAGTTCATGTCATTATATCCGACACCTAAAAGATGAGCTGCTCTTCTGACACCACATCTCTTCAATCTCAGCTGTTTAGGTATCAGTTTTGTTAGTTCTATTTTCCCTGTATTCAATGAATAATTTACACCAGTCTGTTTATATTAAGACAGTGTTATTATCAGGCAAGCAAGCCCTTGAGGTGTGTCATAATTACTGAGTTAAAAAGAATGTATTCATTTTTTTTCCCTCCATTATCTGCATGTAATCGCTGGTTATTACAAGCAGAAAACTTTATATTCCACTATAAGGGAATCGATGCAGCCTTTCCATGTATCTCTGTATATTGTAATGCTTTTTCTGATCCTATAGAAAGAAAAACTTAACCTCCAACCACAAAAAAAATGTCTCCTTGCATGCATTTTACATGACACATGTCAATTGAGCGTCTCCTTGGAAACTAAACACTGGGCTGACTTCATAATATGGCGATTAGAAGTGGTTTCGCCCCACATATCCCCTGCAACATTCATTAGCTCTTGTAAATTATTGAGCAGTGCGATCCTTTTACCACATACAGGTTTGCTTTTGAGATAAACATGCTTCCTCCAGCGTTTTGAAGCCTAAAAAAAGAACAGTCACACACACACTGAAAGACACAGCAGGTGTGTGCATGTGTGAGTACTGCTCTGTCTGAATCTCTGTCCCATCAGAACATTAGATAAAGTGCCAGTGACATGCTCCGTGTTCATTCCACAAAAGGATTAAAGAGCTAATTATGTCAGCCTTTGTGTATTTACCAAGCAGTGATTAGACTAGTGTTGAGCTTTGTTTAAGAGATTTATTTAAATTGCATTTACTGACAGAAGGACAGATAAAAAAATGAAAAAATAATTCGATACAAAATTCACTATTTCTGATGATCAGGGGGGGAAAAAAGCTTAATAACTGTTTTATTTTTACCTAATCCTTTTTTTTCACCACAGTACTGATAACATCCCCTCTTTAGTCTGTAAACTGAAAAATCCCCCACATCCCTACTAATAGAATAATTAAGAAAAAGCTCTTGGAGGAACAAGCTAAATACTTTCCTAACAAGGTAAAAAAGCAACCTCATCTAAAGATTGTTAAAGTTTTCAGATTTTGTCTTTACACACCTAACTGTATTATTTAATATATAAAAGTAAAACAAGCAGAAAGTCAAGATGGATTTTTTTTTTATTAACATAAAGAAAAAAGAAAACAGCACTAATGGGAAGTGGGCTATAGAGGTAGCTGCACACATTAGCCATTCAAAAAGGGGTTGCTTATTGTGTGAAACATGGTCAAATGCCGGGGAGACTGCTGATTAGTAATCATACACTGCTCATTATCCAGCTCCATGCTTGTGTATCGGAGCTCTCTTACCTCTGAGACAGCAGCTATACGCAGACTGCAACCTGAGCCTTTCTCTTGGAGATAAGACAAATTCAACTTATCAGCAGAGAGGTGACTATTTTATGTTTTTAAACCAGCTGGGTTTTAGGTATTATAACTATTATTTTAAATAACTTTTTTGTAAACATGTTAATAGTGAAAATATTTCTGATCTAATGTTAAAATAAATACATCTCTGATATGGAAATCAAGGGCTTATAAAATGTATAATAAAATGTGATCCGTGGCAGCCCCACCTTTCACCCATCTACTTTCGACCACCTGACAGACAAGTAGCAGAAGATGGAGAAATGTCATATATAATGGCTAGATTAATAGTGATTAATCGATAATTGAAATAATCGTTTATTTATCGAATCCAAGAGTGAAAGTACACAAACTCTAAAAGATGCAATTTGTTGAAATAATAACCTTCCTACAGCAGTTAATAGGAAAAATTACAAATACTTGCAATTATTTGGAAATATGCAATAAAGTTTTTCTTTCATGTTTAACACTTTTTTTTAATTTAGAAATATTAATAACTATAAGTATCTGATTTTAGATGAATTATTTACTCAGAAAAATAATGCAACTAAATTATGCAGTTTTTATAATAAACAGAGAAACCATTTATACTGACAATATGTCACACTTAAGATTAAACTTTCTATGCTGGTTCATGCACTTTAAGTTTATGCTGACCATGTTGCAAATGGAGCAGTGCTATATTTAGTTGTTTTGGTTTTTTTTTTGTTCTTCATTATCTTGAATGAATCATTGAGGTTAAGTTTGGTTTCTATTTCTAAAGTTTTAGTCTTTAATTTCATTTATTATGACATTGTTATAAACACTTTCATACACATAACATTATATTTACTAAAATTAACATCGGTCAATGTGAAATAATTTGTACAATGAGAAAAATCCATGATAAATCTCAGTATAGTTAAATTCTTCTAAGACTTGGATCTATATTAAGAAGATGTCATATTTTAGTTAGTGCATGTACTATGGTCAAATATGGAGTAAATTTTGCTCCATTATTGTTGCACAAAAGAAACACATTTTGTAAATGAAAGTTAGAAAAAAATATATTTTGTTAATTGAAATTTGTTGAAAAAAATGCATTCCAGAAATAAAACTTGGAAAAATATTTTAATTAAAAAAAAGATTTTGAGAGTATCCTGGTCTGTTTTCTTTTTCTTTTTATTATTATTTTTTTTTTTCAAATTTGTTTTTCCTATTTTGTATTTTTCAAAAATTGTTTTGCAGATTTTTATATGATCTTCTATTTTTTTTCACTTTTCTTTTACAAATTTCATATTTCCATTTTTTGAGAAACTTCTGTTCTCAGAGTGAGTTTCAAGTTCAGCAATCTTTTAAAACAGTTTTCCAGATTAAGTTCTCTTTACTTCTGGGGGCGAACTCTCCGAAGTAACAATGCATTTCTATTGGTTTGCATGTTTGTTAGCACACAACATTGTTTTCATCTAAAACAAGCATTCGTATTGGACTTGGGAAAAAAACAACATGCCGGAAGTGAAGACAATGTGATCTGTGAGCAATTTGAAAATAATGCAATTGGAAATTCATAAATTCTAAAAAAAAAAAAAAAAAAATACAAAAATCTTTTTTAAAGTTTTCTAGAAGTAAAATTAGAAAAAAAATATTTTTTGAAAGCAGAATGTGTACGAATGAAGTTTACAAAACAAAAACTGCACACAAAAAAGAAAGAAAAACAACAAATTATCTTGGCACTAATGACTGGTCTGATTACTCATTTCAATAACCAGCTTAGCTCCCAGTTCTCATTACCGTTCTTCAGATTCACCTGCTTCAGTCTCTATTTAACCAGCCTTTAGACCAGTCATCAGTGACAGATTATTTCGAACCAGTGGTGAGAAATTTTCTAGAATTCAGTGTCTCTGATTGCCTTATCCTGACTTGTTCTGTCCCTTAACCACTGAGCCCACCCATCCCCGTTTGTTCTGTTTGCCTACTCTGTGTGCTGACTCCTGCTGGATCCCTGCCTCTCTGTGTCCCGAAACTGGAACTGTTTCCCGTCTCCGTTCTGGATTCCCCCTCGGCATCTCTTTGGACCTCTGACCTCCTGGCTCTGACTCCTAAGCCTCGATACCGGGTTTGGCTTCGCCCTCTGGATTATCCTGCCTTCCTTCGTCTTCTCGGTTCTGATCTCCTGCTTGTCCTCCACCACGATACATCAGCATCTGGGACTCTATGTGTGGCACCCACTGCGTCGTACTGTCAGCCGACTGGCTAGGACCAACCTCACCCTCCGGGCTCGGACTGAACTATAAGACCAGAGGTTCCTGCCTTATAAGCCGACACTGCTCACTGCAAGTTATTCTCAAAACATTAAAACATTTAAAATGTTCTTTGCTTGGAAAAATAATGGAACAAAACAGTGATAAATGGATGGACATCCTCATTATTAATTAGTAGGCTGTAAATTCCAGCTCAAAATGAAGGTTGTTCCGAGAGAATATCTCCCACAACATTCCATAATATCTGAAAAGCAATCTGAAATATGGATATTTATGAGGAATCAATGCATTCTGAAATCACTTCTTTGGACATCAATTTTAGGGTCTGTCCCTCAGTCTGAGCTCAAGGGCCCTTTGGATCAGTTTTTTCATCCAGGATGTTTATGTACATTGCTGTATTCATCCTTTCCTCTATCCAGACTAGTCTGCCAGTTCCTTCAGCTAAAAAAAAAAAAAAAACATCCCACAGCATGATACTGTCACCACCATGCCTCATTGCAGGGACGGTTTTGGCCTAGTAGTTTCCTCCAAACATGAGTGCTGGTATTCAAAGCCAAGATTAAAATCTTTGTTCCATCAGACCAGAGGAATTTGTCATTCATAGTCCGATTCCTTCAGGAGCCTTTTGGGAAAAACAGGACTTGCTGACTTCTGTCTTTCATTTAGGAGTTCCATACATCTGGCCAGTCTAGCACACAAGTCTGATTGGTGTGAACATGATTGTCCTTCAGGAAGGTTCCTCCCTCTCTACAAACTAATAATAACTGAACTTTATTGATCTCACATTGGAGGAATTTACCTCTGTGTTTGACCCATCCCCTTGGGGAGCAGTGGGCTGCCATTGTGCGGTGCCCAGGGAGCAGTGTAGGGTTATGGGCTTTACCCAGAGACACAGAGTGGCAGTCTTTGGGAGTGGGGCTCAAACTCATAACCTCAGGTGAACAGCCAGCCAGCTGTAGGAAACATCTATTGGTTCTCAATTTCTTTTATTTAACAATGATGAAGCCACTGTGCTTTTAGGACCTTTAAGGCGGAAGATGTTTTTGCCTTCTCTAAATGTGCCTCAAGACAGCCCAGCCTCAGAAATCTACATGCAATTAATTTGACTTAATGCTTGGTGTTTGCTCTCTGCCACGCACTTTCAACTGTGAGCTACTGCTGATATCCTCAATATATTACATTATTGAATATTTTTTTGATGATTATAGGTAAGTGATGCAATCTCCCTTTTTATTGCAATTTAGGGAAAAGTAAATCCATTTAATGTCTTTGTTTTTGTGGATTTTTGATGGTAAAAACAGAACTTTTGTAAATTCAGCTAGATTTTGATATATTATGTGGTTAGTGCATAGAGCTTGGAATCCTGAGGTTGTGGGTTCGGATTTCACTGCCACTCTGGGTCTCTGAGCCAGAGAGGCAGTTAAATGCGGTGGTTCATTTCTCCAATGTGATATCATTAAAGTTCAATTAGAATCTTGTTCTGTTATTGTTGCAAGCAAAAGTTGAGAGTAACTTCATTGTTTTCTCAGATTTCTTAGTTGTGTCGCCGTGATCTGGGGTGCCTCTGGATACCTTGGGCTTGCGTCACCTCTTTATCTCTCCTGGACCCTGTAGGGGGAGTCTGGAGCCACCCACACCTGCTATTGATTTTCCTTCTGAAGAAACATCGTAAATCCTTTAATCACCAGAATGCCAATGCATACATACGACGCAAGGATGGTTCCAGGTGTTCACGGATACAAACACATACTAAATATATATATATATACCACCATGAATAATATTGTGTATTTACTACAGGTTTTACTTTCTACAAATGGATATCTAAGGGATACCCTCTGCTCTTGAAGCTTTTTTGATGTTTACATTGGGAGTATGTTTTCTTTTTGCCGTTGTTATGTTCTCTGTTTTTTCCCTCTGTGGAAGCATATTTCTAGGAGTTACTGTACACTGTCCGTGTTGCCCAAATATAACCCACTGGTTATTCCTCGCTGACCAGACTTTTCCTTGAAAAACTGAAATTTGAGGGGATAAAATGGAAATATAAAAGCTTTATAAAAAATTTACTAATTTATATATATATATATATATATATATATATATATATATATATATTATTTGAAAGAAAAGAAATCTGAAAAAACAAAGTTTACTCTCAAAACTTTTAATTTTATTTTTTTAACTAAAACATTTTTCAAACTTTCATTTCTGGATTGCATTTTTCTCTACATTTTAATGCACAAAATTTGCGTTTTAAACTTTCCATTTAAAAAACATGTTATTTGCTTGCAACAATATGTAACAAATTATTACTCCATACTGATGTTTAACCTAATACTGACAAACACATTTAAACTTTAAAGCAATTTCTGTTTAAAAACAATCAAACTAAAGCATCATATCTTTTTAGCTCCTTGGTTATCATATTTCTTTCTTTCTGTTGAAAAGAGATCATAATGGGTCTGAGTTATTACTTACGGATCTGGTTCGGGCTTCTTGTCATTTTGGGACTTTTGCTGAGGCTGAAGAACATTATTTACCAGGTCAGTGATCCCACTAAAGGGAAACCACCTGTTCAAATAAGCAAAGTGTGGCTCAAAATTTGTAATCATTCACTGATGAAGAAAAATAATTTGATCATAAGAGGAATTTTGGATTGCAGGGCAGTTTCAAGGAGTGAAAAATAACAGGAGCATTCACTAAAACCAGAGCTGAAAGAGGTGAGGAGCAAGAACACCGGCAGAGTGGCAATTTTGGGACCACTGACATCCAGATAGTGTCAGAAATACAATGGGAAAAGACAGAAGAGGATAGAAGTGTGAGGCTATCAGGGTTCAATTTAAGATAAGGATGATGAAAAATATAGAAGCACTACAGCCAGTGGGAAAAGTACTAAATTAAAGACTCGGCTAAGGGTAACAGAAGTATCACTTCTTCAGGTTTACAGGGGCAGTAGAGGTCAGGTTTTCCAAATGATCACTCTTGAAGAGAGATTGGATCAAATGAAGCTATAGAACAGCAGAGGAGGACAGGAGCATCAAGTCGAACTACACGGCTGCACAAGCCAGCCAGAGTGCAGACGATACACCGGATGAAGACGGGCAGCCAAGTAGAAACTAGGGACAAGGGAAAGGTGTGCAAGCCTGGCACAGAAACAAAAAAGTGCCCGTATAAAGCAGTTGCCATTAATGTCATGGATGCCAGCTGTCTAATGTCCAGAGAATTTACCTGCCTGGCTAAATTAAGCTCACTGTGTGAGGTTCAAATAAATACTGATTTGCTGACTTGGTTAATGTGTCTGCATTGCTTCCCCCACCATGACATTAATGCCATTTTTTTCATTTAGCCTCCAGAAGATGACGAAGAAGCAACATTAAGCAAACAGCACAAACTGCTGAGAAGTACTGTCAAAGCCTATGAACTTTGGGTAATGTAGTTTACTTACTGTGCTTGTTGAGGTTTTGTTTCTTCTTTGATCCTAAAACATAAAAAATAAATGGGTATGGGGACCTCATTGCATACAGAAAACAAATAGATGAGGAAAACAATATGAGAATACAATAACAATGTCAATAAAATACATGCAATATTTACAACATACAAATAAAGATTTAAACAACAACAGAAAATCTAAAAGGGTGGAAAACAAATATAAATATATGTGGTAATGTAACTTTAAAGATGGAAAGATAAAAGTAAATAAATCAGATTTGAAACCAAAATGACTGCTTATGCGAAAAGCGTTCTGTCTTTTTAACCTTTGTATAAAAATAATAATTTCTATTACAATAGGATGGATCATATATGTGTTTTCTCTCATGATCCAAGTAAACAACTATCACAGATCTTCACTTATGGATCTCATCATTCAGACCATCATCTTAAGAGTAAGAGGCTGAAGTCATAAAGTTTGCCACCTATGCACATATACTATGACTCAACAGACAAAACAAACAGCCATCCACACTAGGCATAACTGATAACAGACTTCCTGACAGACAGGAAGCAGCATGTGAAACCATCATTATGCTGGGTCTTAAAGTCATAGGGAAACGGCTGTTCCAACTGTTGCAGTTCCGAATTCTCCCGAGTGGTGCCCGACTTTACACGAGTGAATAAAGTAAATGTGATTGGTTGTTTATCAATGGGGCGGGGTTGTTGTGGTGAAAGGTTCACAAGCAAATTTGATTATGGCCGGTTTGTCAGAAGCATCTTGCTAATCAGTTAGCAACTTATTGCTAGTAGGTTCCCAATGGGATATTCCATTGGGACCAAGTAGCACTAAATTGGTGACTTAGAAACGACACTGTCAAGGAACGCTATGGACAGCGGAAACATGCAAGAGGAGGAGAGTTTAGTGTCGGAGGTCGTGGATGGTGCTCCTCTGTCATACATTTCTTATTTAGAGGAGGAAAGCGGGGACGAAGATATTGTAGAAGAGGACGCCAGGGCGGCAGAAGCTTGGTTTGGTGTAGAAGGCTTACAGCCGTACATATTTGAGCCCTTGCCTCGCAACGCTGCCAGTTCTGTTAGCTCTACGCCTGCTGAAGACACAGACGTCCATCCCCGTGAACACTGGGATGGAACTCAATGGGAAAGTAAATTATTCTTATTTCTTATTTCAACCCTTGCGTATATTAGCTGCAACATATGAATCAAGATGCTATGACCAAAAAAATTGGATTGACAGATGACCGTAGATATATGATTGGCCGAATTTAGGTGTTCACGCTGACGTATAACTAACTGGCCTGCATGAGATAACGCAGAAAAAAAACAACAACAAAAATATTTGTGCTAATTTGGCTTCAGTTTATTTAATAAGAGTCATTACAAACCAAAACTCAGATTTGCCCTAAAAAGACAAGCATATAGTCTCTCATGTTTGCAATTTGTTTGCCTCTGGTGGCAATTGTTTAATTTATTGATGCAGAGTGAGACTATTTATAAACAGAGGTTTTTTTTATCCTCCACTGCTCTTTATAAATCCTAATTTCAAACAGCTAATCGCTGTAATTTGCTGTAGTGTTTCGAAATAGTAATCATAGGTCAGCAATCAGTTGGCATACTAAAAAGTGTTTACTAACACATACAGTTGAAGTCAAAAAAGATTTTAAGCAACAATTGTAGAAGGAGCTACAAAGCCAGAAAAAAAAAAGAATTAAAAGAACATAACGATAACTACATTAATATCATGCATATTAAGAATATATCAACAACCTCTATAAGTTGTTACATTCCTGCTGATTTTGCATAGTTTCTACCTTAGTCAGTTAAATAACATGCTGCTATCTCTGATGTTGCTGCAATTTTCAAACATCCATTACTGTAAAAATGTCCACAGCTGTATATTGGTTATTTATTCCCAGTATTTATATTGTTTAAACACTTTACAGTACAGTATTTTATTGTTTATCTTTTAAATCTTCACTATTATGCTATTATTACAAATTTTTCTAAGGTCCACATTTGTGTGACTATTTTTTCTACAATCTTTTTGCTGCTGTAAACACCAGAGTTTCCCCATTGTGGGACAATAAAGAGGTTTTCTATTCCATTCTATTCTATTCTATTCTATTCTATTCTATTCTATTCTATTCTATTCTATTCTATTCTACGTATTTACTGAAAGGTATCAAAGTCAATTATTGTAAATGATCATTTAAGCCAGGGACGCACAGTATACTTACATTAATATCAGTATCTGCAAATTTTCCTTATTTTCATACATCTTGATATCAGTTAAACTGGGCTGACATTAACTACCAATGTTCCTGTTTTGGGTCAGTCATATGATTGTGATGCAGCTCAGGATTATAAGTGTTTAAATGAAGCACTGAAGCAAAGTTAGCACTGTGTTAGCAGTAGGGCTGCAACTAACAATTATTTAGCAAATTCATTGTTCATCCGTAGATTACTTTCTTGATTAATTGATTCATAATCAGATAGCAAACGGTTCCTTAAAGCTGTTAGAGCATACTGACAGACAAAAACTTTTTTATCTTAAATGCTAAAGGTTTTTTATATATATATATATATATATATATATATATATATATATATATATATATATATATATATATATATATATATATATATATATACACTCACCGGCCACTTTGTTAGGTACACCTGTCCAACTACTCGTTAACACTTAATTTCTGAGCAGCCAATCACATGGCGGCAACTCAGTGCATTTAGGCATGTAGACATGGTCAAGACAATCTCCTGCAGTTCAAACCGAGCATCAGTATGGGGAAGAAAGGTGATTTGAGTGACTTTGAACGTGGCATGATTGTTGGTGCCAGAAGGGCTGGTCTGAGTATTTCAGAAACTGCTGATCTACTGGGATTTTCACGCACAACCATCTCTAGGGCTTACAGAGAATGGTCCGAAAAAGAAAAAACATCCAGTGAGCGGCAGTTCTGTGGGCGGAAATGCCTTGTTGATGCCAGAGGTCAGAGGAGAATGGCCAGACTGGTTCGAGCTGATAGAAGGGCAACAGTGACTCAAATAACCACCCGTTACAACCAAGGTGGGCAGAAGAGCATCTCTGAACGCACAGTACGTCAAACTTTGAGGCAGATGGGCTACAGCAGCAGAAGACCACACCGGGTGCCACTCCTTTCAGCTAAGAACAGGAAACTGAGGCTACAATTTGCACAAGCTCATCGAAATTAGACAATAGACGATTGGAAAAACGTTGCCTGGTCTGATGAGTCTCGATTTCTGCCGCGACATTCGGATGGTAGGGTCAGAATTTGGCGTCTACAACATGAAAGCATGGATCCATCCTGCCTTGTATCAACGGTTCAGGCTGGTGGTGGTGGTGTCATGGTGTGGGGAATATTTTCTTGGCACTCTTTGGGCCCCTTGGTACCAATTGAGCATCGTTGCAACGCCACAGCCTACCTGAGTATTGTTGCTGACCATGTCCATCCCTTTATGACCACAATGTACCCAACTTCTGATGGCTGCTTTCAGCAGGATAATGCGCCATGTCATAAAGCTGGAATCATCTCAGACTGGTTTCTTGAACATGACAATGAGTTCACTGTACTCAAATGGCCTCCACAGTCACCAGATCTCAATCCAATAGAGCATCTTTGGGATGTGGTGGAACGGGAGATTCGCATCATGGATGTGCAACCGACAAATCTGCGGCAACTGTGTGATGCCATCATGTCAATATGGACCAAACTCCCTGAGGAATGCTTCCAGCACCTTGTTGAATCTATGCCACGAAGAATTGAGGCAGTTCTGAAGGCAAAAGGGGGTCCAACCCGTTACTAGCACTTTATTAGGGGTACCTAATAAAGTGGCCGGTGAGTGTATATATATATATATATATATACATACATTTCTTCTTTCTTTTAACAATTATGGTATAATTACTGCTCAAGGGTTGGTTGATCTGTCACCTAAAGGCATATTTCTAGGTCTCTAAAATCCGGTTACAGATTAATCGATTACTAAATTAGTTGACAATTACACTATATTGCCAAAAGTATTTGCTCACCTGCCTTGACTCACATATGAGCTTAAGTGACATCCCGTTCCTAATCCATAGGGTTCAATATGACGTCGGTCCACCCTTTGCAGCTAGAACAGCTTCAACTCTTCTGGGAAGGCTGTCCACAAGGTTTAGGAGTGTGTTTATGGGAATTTTTGACCATTCTTCCAGAAGCGCATTTGTGAGGTCGCACACTGATGTTGGACGAGAAGGCCTGGCTCTCAGTCTCCGCTCTAATTCATCCCAAAGGTGTTCTATCGGGTTGAGGTCAGGACTCTGTGCAGGCCAGTCAAGTTCATCCACACCAGACTCTGTCATCCATGTCTTTATGGACCTTGCTTTGTGCACTGGTGCACAGTCATGTTGGAAGAGGAAGGGGCCAGCTCCAAACTGTTCCCACAAAGTTGGGAGCATGGAATTGTCCAAAATGTCTTGGTATGCTGAAGCATTCAGAGTTCCTTTCACTGGAACTAAGGGGCCAAGCCCAGCTCCTGAAAAACAACCCCACACCATAATCCCCCCTCCACCAAACTTTACACTTGGCACAATGCAGTCAGACAAGTACCGTTCTCCTGGCAACCGCCAAACCCAGACCCGTCCATCAGATTGCCAGATGGAGAAGCGCGATTCGTCACTCCAGAGAACGCGTCTCCACTGCTCTAGAGTCCAGTGGCGGCGTGCTTTACACCACCGCATCCGACGCTTTGCATTGCACTTGGTGATGTATGGCTTGGATGCAGCTGCTCGACCATGGAAACCCATTCCATGAAGCTCTCTGCGCACTGTTCTTGAGCTAATCTGAAGGCCACATGAAGTTTGGAGGTCTGTAGTGATTGACTCTGCAGAAAGTTGGCGACCTCTTCGCACTATGCGCTTCAGCATCCGCTGACCCCGCTCCGTCAGTTTACGTGGCCTACCACTTCGTGGCTGAGTTGCTGTCGTTCCCAAACACTTCCATTTTCTTA